AGAAACATATTTACAGAATGACATCTCCTATCAGTACACCAAAAAGAGTGATGCTTGCTGTATGTACGTAGTACTTAACCACATATTTTATATGATTATATGTGTGATTTATCATGTGAATATGTAAATAAAAAATTTAAAGATGGTTTTGTTTTAAAGAGGAAGCAGAATATAGAGCTTGAATTCTGTCTCACAAGAGGCTAAAATTCTCATCCTGTCTTCTGGAGGGAAGTAAGAAATGGTGGACATACCATTAAATCAGTGAAGGCTGTAACAGAGGTGCCTGAATTGCCAGAACAAGACTACCAGGGTGCGCAGGTCTGTCTCTGAGCTTGGCTGCATCCCACTTACAGGAGAAAGCAAAGTGAAATGTTTTTAGAAGACAGGAAAAACTATCAAAGAGGTTCTCTGTGATGAGCAAGAAGGAGCCTAAGCTAGGACCTACGGCAAGAGCAGTCAGGTGCGAAGCCTCTAGAGTGAGGCATCCTGGGAACACTGTCTGTGACCTTGTGGGTGAACCCGTCCTTTCAGGATCTGGCCCCCTTAAATGTGAGCCAGAGGTGAATAATCCTGAGCTCTTGTGATTCATACAGGAAGAACTCAATACTATGATTAAAATCGCATTCTAAACCTGAGAGCTGCACATTATTATCCATGGGAGTTTCTTCCTATGGAGCCGCACCACAAGAATGGTTGCAACAGGAGAACTGCAAAATTTAGGTGACCCTCTGTCTCTCCATCATCAAAGATATGTATGGCGAGACTTCACTGTAGTGAGATATTCACTTTGTCCTAACCTGTGGCACTGACCACGCCCATTAGGGGTGGGGACAGGGGCTGACCTTACTTGGGGGAACTAGGTCTGAGGAAGGTGCCCCAGGAAGTTCTTTTGCTTACTGCATGGGGACAGAAGAGCATCTGGAAGCATCCTTGGTGTTTATCTGCTGGTGTTTATCTGTCTCTGTTGTAAGTTATTTTTCCCTGAATAAACATCTATTCGACCTATTTGTTTCTCCTGATCCTTATTAAACCACAATACTTCACTTCTTGTGACAATTTTCATTATCAACTAGATAGGATTTGGAATCACCTAGGAGACACACCTATGGGTGCATCTGCAAGTGTGTTTCCAGAGGGAAGAGGAGGGAAGACATACCCTAAATGTGGGGGTACCATCCCATAGGCTGGGGTTCAAGACTGGGTGGAAAGGACAGAGAAGAAAGCAAGCTATTGGGTCAGTATCCATCTTTACCTGCTTCCTGGCTGCATATACAATGTGACCAGCTTCTCACTCCTGCCACCATACCTTTCCTTCCAGAATGGACTATATCTTGGAATTGTGACCAAAACAAACTCTTCTGTTGTAGAATATTATTTTAAGATGTGTTACATTTGTTTACCCTGTGAAACATTTGTTTTAATGATGCAAAGATGTGTTGCATTCTTTTATGTTGCAATTGTTTCACTCTGAAATTGTGATTCTTTGCCTGTCTAAAAGAGCTGTTGGTGTAATAAAGAGCAGAACAGCTAACAGTGAGGCAGGAGAAAGGACAGGCGGGGCTGTCAGGCAGAGAGAATGAATAGAAGGAGAAATCCAGGAGAAGAAGAAGGAGCAAGATAGAAAAAGGAGAGGAGGACATCAGGGGCCAGCCACCTAGCTACTCAGAAAGGTATACAGAAACAGGAAAAGATAAAGACCAGAGCAAATGATAGATGGCATAATTTAAGATAAGAAAAGCTGGCTAGAAACAAACCAAGCCAAGGCCAGGTATTTGTAAGTAAGAATAAGCCTCCATGTCAGGATTTGGGACCTGGGTGTCAGCACCCCGCAAGAGTCAAAGAGCAACAATACACTAATAACAACACTGAGTTGATTATCCCACTAGCTCTCCCAAATCCTCACCATCAGGGTGAGCTCCCCAGCACTGCTCCAGCTAGTCCACACAATACAGCAGCCAGTGGAGGGTGGGGCCAGATTTCCCTCTCTCATACCCTCACTGCTGGCTCGTCTTCACCCATACCACCTCATGGCAGATGAGAGGTGGGACCAGCTCACCTGCTCTCACACCCTGGTGGGGGTGCAGCTCACCCACCAAAAGGATCAGCTCTATTGTGCTGTGTCTAGTGAGGCAGGAGCAGCTGCTCCACTCTCATGACCCCAGGGCCAGCTCTCCTGCCTGCTGCAGGTGGTGAGGCATGAGGGGTGAGGGGTGGGGGGAGGAGCATCTCTTCCTCACTTGCGATCTCATTTTAATGGTGAACAATTAGAATTTTTATCTCATTCTAGCAAGTTAGATTTTCTAGATGCATTTTGGCAGGCATATTCACATACAGACCAAGTCATTGCAAAGAAAAAGATTAAGTCCAGCAAAGGTCAGCTCATCTTCAGAGTCACGTGGAAAACTAAAATGTAGGGTTCACCTACCACCTCTATCTAGGATGAGGATGGGAGCTGGGAAAGTCCTCACTCCTCAGGAGATTCTGCTGCTGACCCAGGCTCTGTTTGTTGAGACTGCTCTCCCTCCTTGTATGGCCAGTAGGTGGCTCCAGCTGGGGTCCCTCTTTCTGCTCCCACCCTACAAAGGTCTGGGGTAGGAGAATGTGAAGGCCAGCAGCTGTGAGCTGCTTCAGTTTCGGTCTTGTCAAAAATGGGTGAGGGCTCACAGCTCTAGGCCTGCATACTTTCCACTCTTGTCCTAGACAAAGCTATGAACCCTTAACATCTGGTAGCAGGCAGGTCATGTGACCTTGAATTCCAGCTGTGTTACATTAGGGGTGAGTGTTAACTCCCACCTTCTAGGTGTGTGAGAATTAAATGAGAAAATGTGCATCAAGGACAGATCACAGCATCCCTGGTTTGTCTGTTCCTGAGATAGAGTCTCACTGTGGAGTCCAGGTTGGCCTGGCACTCAATTATGCACTCCAGGGAACACATGGTGATCAAGAGCTAGGATTCAATCTTTAGGAGAGAGATGGGGGGGGGGATGAGAAAGGGAGGGAGGGAGAAGGAGGGAGGGAGGAAGAGAGAGAGAGATAGAGAGAGATAGAGAGACATAGAGAGAGAGAGAGAGAGAGAGAGAGAGAGAGAGAGAGAGAGAGAGAGAGAGAGCACAATCAGCAAACCGCTGCTGGAACAGAGTGAAGCTTCTCTGAAAAGCCTCAGGGAAGCAATAGAAAACCCATCTTCAGTCCCTCCTGGGCCCCTCCAAAGCTTTTGCCAGTGTAATTGTGTTAGGCTTGTTTTCAGGTGATGATGTAGAGTGCTTAACTTTAGCTGAGCCCTTTTTTCTTAGTTGTTTTGTCAATATATTTTCCAGTTGCAGACGTTGTTTATTTGACAACAAAGTCTATCTCTGTTTGACACTGGGGCATAGGTTAAATGGGTGCCCCAAGCTGATTTTCAGCTATTCTGCCTTTTGTTTAGTTAATTTATTAAGACCCTTGTTCTTTGGAGTGCGGACAGCATCTCCTTCAGCAGGTGATTTTGCTTCTTCGAGCTCATTTGCCATTACTGCATCTCCATATAGTCAGCCCTACTGATGTGGGGCTGTGCTCCCAGCACAGCAACCTCTGTGTGTGAGCAATACAGGACACATGCAGCTTTCCCCTGGGGGAGCTCACACTGGGAAAACTTAATGGACACTCCAGTTGGTGGACAGCATAGCAGGTTATGGATGAGGATGTCTGTTTGAAAGCCCAGAACAATCCCAGGCTAGAGTGTAGAGCTGGCTGTGAGAGCAGCAGGAGATGAAATCAGAAAAATAGGCAGTGACTAGATCCTGAAAGGTCTGAGGCCTGCTGTTTAAGAGTTGAGTTTTTGTCCTCAGGTTGATAGAAATCTGACTGCATTTCTTAAATAAGATTTTTACTTAAGAGTATGCGTTTGTGTGCTTATATGGTGTGTGTGTGTGTGTGTGTGTGTGTGTGTGTGTGTGTGTATGTGTGTGCGTGCAGGTTTTAGAGGAGGCTAGAAGGCATACCAGATTCCCTGGAGCTGGAGTTACAGGCAGTTTTGGGCCACCCTACATGGGTGCTGGGAAGCAAACTTGGTTCTCTGGGAGAATGGCGAACACTTTGGACCACTGAGCCAGCTCTCCTGTCCTGGAAGATTTTCTAAGCAGGAGAGTGATAGGGCCAGATTGCTTTCTATGAGGTTACTCTATGTTAGCACAGTGCTTCTAGAACTTTATTTAGCATATGGGGTTGGGGATGTAGCTCTGGCCCAAATGACATGGGACACAAGGTCCTCCCCATAAAGATGATGGAGGAGGCAGGAACCATGTGGAGAGGGTATCATGCTAGATTCAGTGTAGGCATTATTGGGTATCCAAGAAAGCTGAACTATAATACAAAGGGTGCTTTGAGGGAAAAGGAGCTGACGTGTATGTGCCCTGCCAGCACAGGCAACTTCATGCGTCTGACATAAGATGATGCTGTGAGCCTGTCTTATGATTTCAGGAGTGTCTGTAAAGCACTTAAAATCTACAAGAAGAAAGAAGCTTTTATGCAGAGCTTAAGGTGTTTTGTTTCTTTCTCTGAGATGCAAAACACAATGCAGCATGCCATTCATTCTGAGACTTCACTTGTTCCCTGAGTGACAGCCATTTGCTGTCTCCTCACTCTCCTTCCCCTGCCCATCGTGGACATTTATGTGATGAAGTTTCAAATGTGTGTATAGTTCAGTGCTCAAGAAGCTGAGGCAGAAAAATCTTGAGTTCAAGTTTGAGTCTGTCTCAAAACCAAACTAAGGAGCTGGGGATGTAGCTGTGTTGGTGGAATGCTCGCCTGCCGTGTATAAAGCCCTGGGCTCCATATCTAGCATGGCATAAACAAACCAGGCATAGTGGTACAATACAGCACTCGGGAGAAGGAGGCAGGAGGGTCAGAGGTTCAAGATCATCTTTGACTACATAAAAGCCTGTCTTAAAACAACAACTAAACTTCCAAACTAAAGCAAAACAATATGTGAAATGTTTTACTAAAGAAAGGACAGTACTCACCTTGGTCTCTGTTCATGGTTTCATCAGGCAGTATGGTGACAATTTCATAGCCATTGCTCCGTGGCATGCTTTGGGTGATTTTATTACCATTATGGTCCTTCAGCTTTTGCATATCAAGTCTTGCTTTACTGTGAAGGATCTTCATCAACTCCATTTGGGCCTGAAACGATAAACTAGAAGTGGCTAATGATCTCCTAAACTGTCTTCCCCCAGAACAGATTCAGTAACACCAAAAGTGTGGACAGTTCACAGACCTGGACACCTTTGAACACTCTGGAATGGCTTTGTTCCCATCCCATTCTGTGGCAACTTTTTTCTCAGGCTTGTTAGGAGAAAGATGGTCATGTTCACTGGTTCGTAGAGAGGTGGATCAATGAAATGAGGATTCCTGTCAGCCTTTGTCTGTAGGTGAGTTTTTGGAATTGCAGAGGATAGAACTACAGGCTGGCTCTTTAGAGAGTGGAGTTTAGAGTTGCAGACCTTTGTTGAGAAAGTGTTCCAGTGTGTGCTTCAGAATTCATAGGTTGGAAAACTCCCCCCTCCCCAATTCTTATGCTACTTTGTAGGTGGGCCTTTAAGAGATGTTTAGGTGGTGAGGGCTTCACCCAAAGGACAGAGTAAAACTGGAAGAGGCCAGTTCACCCTGGGAAGTTACAAAGCTTGCCTTGGCTTGCTCTTGCTCCTGACCCCTCACTCTCATAAACATCGTCACTTACCATGTTCTCTGTTTTGTTGTGCCACCTTTTATCAACTACTAGTATCTCAGTCTCAGACTTCCTTTCCTCCAGAACAATGAGCAATATAATCATCTGTGTGGTTTTAAAGAAAATGGCCTCCAAGGGGAGTAGCACTATTAGGAGGTGTGGCTTTGTTGGAGTGGGTGGTCTTGTTAGAGGAAGTACATCACTGTGGAGTTGTGCTTTGAGGTCTCATACATGCTGAAGATACTGCCTGTTGCCTTCAAGTAAAGATGTAGGACACTGGGCTACTTCTCAAGCACCATGTCTGCCTGCATGCTGCCATGTCCCACCATGATGATAATGGACTGACCTTTGAACTGTAAGCAGCACCCAATTAAATGTTTTCCTGTACAAGAATTTCTGTGATCATGGTGTCTCTTCACAGCAATAGAAACCCTAAGTAGACCATCATTTTTATTAATCCCCATGTCTCTGGAATTCTCTTATAGAAGCAGAAATGAATCAAGACAAAGTCCTTGCGTGTCCCTTCTTTTTGAAACAGGGTTTCACTCCATAGCATGGCTGTCCTGAAACTTTCTGTGTAACCCAGACTGTCCTAGACCTTGTAGTAGTCCTTCCCTATAGCCTCTCAATCATGGGGGAGAGGCATGCCCAGCACAAGGTGCTTCTCCCTAGGAAATTCTATGGCATGGATTATAGGGAGAGGCCTGTGGATCAGAATAAAGGCTGGCTTCCTTCCCTCTCTTACTATACTAGGAAATTAATATTATTTGCCTTATTTTCTGGCTATAGTCAGAAGGTCAAAGAGCAGCTTTTTAAAAGAGACATAAGCTAGTCTTTTGTACACCTTTAATCCCAACATTCAAGAGGCAGGGGGCATCTTAGCCCACACAGTGAGTTCCAGACCAGCCAGGGCTATGTAATAAGACCTTTTCTTAAAAAACAAAACAAAGAAACAAATAAAAAGGAACACGGGACCAGTGAGATGACTCAATGATTAAGGGAGCTTGCTGCCAAGCCTGACAATCTGAGTTGGATAACCAGAACCCATAAGATGGAAGAAAAAAGCCTACTACCAAAAATTAGCCTCTGACCTCCAGACATGTACCACGGCACATGTGTGTGCTCTCTGTTCCTACAAAATAAAGAAATAAATGAAAAAGAAGAAGGAGGAGGAGAAGGAGGAGAAGGAGAAGAAGAAACATATGCTTGAAGCATAGATCTAATCTTGCAGAGAAGTGAAAAACAAAACAGAGCAAAACAAAAAACACAAGCCTCATCAAGGCTGGGAGCAAAAGGTCATCTTCCTGTTTTTCCGGGCTCAGGCAGTAGCAGCTTCAGCTCCGCTGCTGAGAACAGACTGGACTTGGCAGGACAGTGATGATGCTCTCCTTCCAAATTTGGTAATCATAACCCTCCTCTCTTTACCTCCTGTCTTTTATGGTTCATCTCCAGCATTTGCATCTTATGTAAATACTGTCTCTTCCCAGAAGTGTACACTGAGAGCTGCATTGTCTTCTCAAGTTCCTGCTATGAAAGACGACATGTTTATTAGTATGGGATAATTGTTACTGACTCCTGCAATTCACTGCTTTCAACCCTTCTTGGAACAGATCTTAATCCATCGTAATCCGTAACCGGTCTCCTGTCATGATAAAGGTACTGTGCTGTTGTGTCCCCGACAAGTCCTTTGTGTAGCTGTCAGAGAACAAAGTGGCAATCTGCTGTGTGTCTAATAGTGTTTTAAAGGTTCTTGCAGGGGTTTGCAAGCCTTGAATGCAAGGGTTTTGACAATTTCATTTTGATAATCTCACACTGACGACATACCATTTCCCCTGCCAACAGATGCTTCTAGTATCCCTCTAGGTAAGTGTCTTGGTTTGATGAGGCCTTTTTTTCTCTCCCTGTGTCTTCTACTGTTGACTGGCTGGCTGTGAAATGAGAGGAGATTCCCCCTGGGGGGGCTCAGTGGGACCTATTTCTCTACAGCATATGTTCATTTTCAAATGCAAACCCGAGAAAGCATGGCAGTTGAGGGAGAATTTGAAGTGACTACTTGTAAATCTGGTGGTCTCCTCTTAGTTTGTAATGAAATTCAGTGGCACAGTAAAGGTGGCTATGGAGGGCAAGCAGAGGTGATATAATTTTATTTGTCACTTGCTGTTGTCCAGAGGTTAAGGAGAGAGCTGATGATAGATAGCCCTTTCTGCTGCCCCCTTAACAATGTGTCGGATGGTGTAGAAATTTAGGGAGAGGCTGTCTCCACTGTCAGCACCTTAAGCATGCATTTGAGGACTTGTAGCGTTCAGATGTCCCTTACGCAGCCACACAGCAGTGTCTGGCTGGCTCCAGTGAGGACAGGCTATGAACGTGACCACTACTGACAGTGTTCATTTTTACTCAGCAGGACAAAGCTAACAGAAGACCTTCCCTGGGATTATATTTTGATGGAGGCTGTGGCACAGAATCCAGAACAGCTTCTAGATAAGCTCTTCCCTGGAGACAGAGTGGAGGGAGTTGAAAACTCAGGAGTGAAGGGAAGAGCCATTGGCTTTCCCCCACTGCAGATTTTAAAACTTCTAGAATCATCTGTTTCCATGTAAAATTCTCTTTCATGTGCATAGCTCTGTTTGTTCCACAAAGCAAACAGAGCCTGGCCTCATCCAAGAGTGAAGTGCACTTGCCAGTTGGAGGCAGGCTTGGACAAGCACTGAAGCTTCAAACACCCTACCTGCCAAGGACTGAACTGTCTGCTTTGGCTTTGAACTCCTGTGTGAAGGGGAAACATGAAAAGAGCGATTCCCCCAGGCTCCCCCACTTCCCCCAGTCAGCCACTGCCACAGCTCACCTTTGCTTTGTGTTTTGTTCTGGCTTCTTGCTGGCTCAGGAGTCGCTCAGAGGTAATTACTTGTGGCAGATCAATGGGTTCAAGCTTCTAGAAGTCCAATATTTAGAGTATTCAGCATCCCTCATGCCATGAGGCGACGAAACACACAAGCAGAGACATTAAACTACGTGAGAACTCTGTGCAAGCAGAACTTCTTCCTGGGCCGTGTGCAGAGAAGGTGACTCCCACAGTAGTGCAGCTGTTATCTGTGAGAAAGGCTTTTTGACCTCTGGGGTTCTTTATTGTTCTATCTTACCATTTCCAGTGAGTTATCAATAAAAATCTTGGTCAGAGAATTGATGCACTGAGGGACCATGTTCAAAGTTACCAAATAGCTGGGGTCTTAGACTAGAGGAGATGAAAGAGACACCAGAGACATACCTGATCTTCCCTTGACCACCCAGCTGAGCAGTCTCAGTGCTTAGGAAGTAACACATCTCTGGAGAAGCTCCCTCAGTAATCATGGGTGACAAGACACACTTAAAAGGAAATTGCTAACAGATGATAGGGTTATCTCTTTCTAGCTAGGGCTAGGCCTTATGGGAGACATTTTTTTTTTTTTATTTGAGCTTGAAAGGTTCACTAAAACTGAGTGGAAATATACCCATGGCTTAGTCTAACTTGTCTCTCTCTCAGTTGTATGTGTGGCTACTTCCATCCATATGTGTACATGCAGAGACTAAGGGTTGATGCCAGGTGTGCCAGTAGCCTTCAACCAAATATATATATATATATATATATATATATATATATATATATATATATATATATTTATGACAGGATCTCTCACTGAACTTGTAATTAATGGTTTCTATTTTCTACTATATGGCTGGCCAGTGAGCCCCTGGGAACCATCTGTATTTGCATATAACTCTTCCCATCCCAATCCTTACTGACTGTCATAACGGAATGCTTCCAGACCTGGAGTTTTAGCTTTTTTTGTGGGTGTTGTGTATCCAAAGTCTGGTGCTCATCCCCACACAGCAAGCACTTCCTGGCCTACGCCTAGCCTTCCTTCACCTCAGAAGACGTTGGGTTCTACAAGTTGAGCATAGGAGGTATAGTTGGTCCCCTCAAATTGACATGCAGTGTTGTGTATGTGTGTGTGTGTGTGTGTGTGTGTGTGTGTGTGTGTGTGTGTGTGTGTATGTGTGTGTGTGTTTAGGTCTGCAGAGAGACAGCTGAGTTCTTCACATCTAGGCAGACTATGTTTGAGGTAAGAACTGGCTCTCTATCCTAGTCTCACCAAAGAAGCTTTCTCAGACTCCTCAGTAGTAATCAATGGTGACTATGAGATCATTCCCATGAGGTCTGGCCTTACAACTAAATCCAGCAGAGAAGCAATGGGAGGTGACTAAGTACTAGGATAAGCTTGTTTGTTCCTTTTGCTCTCAGTTTTTCAGGGCGTGAAGATGCTGGCTTAGAAGGTAGCAGTTGCTTGTGCCAAGATGCTGGAGGGAGAGCCCAAGAAGAGGGAGCCCTCCTGACATGTTGGGAAGAAGAATCTATTACAGCTGGGAATGCAGTTTGGGTGAAGGAAAAAATGGAAGCTCTGTGTCTCTTCTGCATGGTGGGTCTCCAGTATTTGTGTATGTATGAATCTTTATGGCCATGTAGCCATTATTCCACACTATGTCCATGAGTAAGTGTACACGTTATTCTCAGGTAAACCCTGTGTATAATTTGTGAAGGTCCTTGTTTCAGAAAGGCCAATGGCTTGTCCAAGTTTGCCCAACTGGAAAGTGGCATCTCTAGGATTCATCTCCGATGTATACCTTGTCCCAAGACAGGTTCTTCACTTTATTGTTTGTCCTGCAGATGCTTGATCCTAAGAATGCCCCTGCACTGTGAAACTAAAGTCTTGCAGCACTTGGCTGAATCTACGAGTCCCCAGGTTTGGGGTATGTCTTGGGAGTAGTTTTCAAAACTCCCCCAGGGACACTGATGATTCCTTTGAAATTTTTCTGTTTGGGGACTGCATTGGTTACATGTTGTGACAGATGAACAACAACGACAACAACAACAACAAAAATGCATAGGGTCTAGACTGTAGAGGATTTTTTTGTGTGCAGCATGAGCACTGAGTCTGAAGAAGCCAAGATACTTGAGTCATTTAAAAAATAATCTTTGGAGCAGCTTTTTTATTTGATAGTATGAATGTCTAAGTCACAAGGGGCTCCTTTCCTTTACTCTCAGCCTTCGTGTTTCTGATAAAGGTTAAATGATAGACACTGTTAAGAACTTTCGGAAAAAAGAACACAACCACGCAGTCTCTTTACAAAGCCACTAGATGGCAGCAAGCGACACTGCAGGCAGCTTTCCACCAGCATAGCATTTAGCCTGAGAAGCTGTGCAGAAAAATGGTTGGGAAAATTGGCTTCATTTAAATATGCCAGTCAAGTGACATTACTTCAGACTCCCGGGTTCACATGCACATCCCTTGTCCTACAGGGGAAGGAAGATTCCTCGCTTCATCCCTTGCAAAGGAAACACGCTGGAAGGCATTGCTTAGAGAACTGGCAGGGTGGAACCTTTTCATTTTTAATATTCAGAAATATCTTATTTGTCTTAAGATTTCTGAATTACTTGGCTGTTCAACACATGATCAATATCATCAGTTGGACTATGTGCTAGGGCTTTGGGAATGGAGAATAAACCATCCATGCACCACACGTCTCTACACTTGCTGACAAACACTAACCTAAGAGGGGCTATTTTTGTGTATTGGTAAGAAAAGGAAGGTGGGTCAGAGCAACCCAAAGAAAATGTAGCATTTGTGGGGCACAGAGACTTACGGATGTGTCTTTTAAAACTCTGGGAAGTGGAGAATGTGTTCTATGACACCTTTAAGTAGGTGATCGTCAAGACAACTTATGGCCCAGAAAGAATTTCTGATCAAGTCCTTGCTATGCAGTTATATTTCAATGACATTCTTTGTCTGCAAAGGACAAAAACATAAAGCCAACGTGGCATGATTTGGCTTCGGTACAAGGCAAACATTTCCCTAGATCAGAAAACAAAAGAGAAACACAAATATTTGTGGGCAGCTGATCTGTAACACTTAGGGCAGGTGAATCTTGTGAGTTATTTATATTGAACAAAGGGGATTAGGAAATGCGCCATAGGAGATCCAGGCTCACAACTTGAAATTGGGGACAAGTTATCCACCATGGTGCTTATGAGAGAACTGGAGGGCTGGGTGGAACTGAGTAATAAAGCATGTTCTTTTAGCATGTATGAGGCTTTGGGTTCAATTCCCAGCACTGAAAACATGAAAACATGGGGAGATAGCTCAGTGGATAAAATGCTTACCGCACAAGTGGGAGACCTAATACTTGGGAGTTGGAAATTGGATTCTCAGGACAAACTGTCCGAACATGAATTGGTGAACTCCTGATTCAAAGAAAAACTCCTTTTCAAAAAATAAAGTGGAGGGTGATTAAAGAAGAAACCCAACATCAATCTGTAGCCAACACACATGCACACGCACGCATGCACGCACGCACGCACGCACGCACGCACGCGAGCGCTTCACACTGTAGGCTGGAAGATTCATTTCATAAGACAGAAAAAGGTTGAATGTGAAGAAGATAAGACTTCATAGCATTAAATTCAAAAGCTTTGTGTTAACTGGATAATTTCCAAGAAACAGTCAGCAAGAATTAAGATACCCAGAACTATGAAGAAATTAATCTAGTAGGAAAAATTATCACTTCCCTTAAAAAGTCCAAGAGTCTAAAAATAGTACTGAGGGTATGTTTTACTAAACATTAGGAGTATAGAGAATTCCTGTGTTACAGTAAATGTTTTTGAAAAAAGGGATGAGAAATTTCTTCATTTTACAAGACTAATTCAATTTTGCTGGCAAAGCTGGTGTACAAGTGCATTAGAAAAGTGTAGATCCATCTCACTCATTAAAGTAGATGCACAAAGCCTTAGGAAATCCAGCTCAGCAATGTATGTGCTTAGAGACTTATGACCAGGTCAGGGTTATGCCAGAAAAGCAAGCTTGGTTCAGCATTATAAAATCTATACCATTTCAACTAGGGAAAGAACACCCATGGGGATGTTTATTTTTTTGTGGGTGGACATATCTCTGTGTGTGGGTGTATGTGATTGTTTTAATAGATGAGGACAAAAATCAATAAAATGTAGCACTCAGCAGCAAGAAAGTCTTAGCATGAAGGAAATGCCTAAAATTGAATGCCACAGTGACAGGTATCATCCAATGGTCACTTCTTTGCCTGTACCCATGTAGCAGCTTCCTTGCCTCTGACTTCCTATTGGGTGTAGCCAATAAGAAGGGGACGATGATGAGGTCAGATATTTGGGTTTCTGACTCTTCACAAAGTGATATGGGGTGACTGTGTTCCTCAACAGAGGGTCACTCTTATTCACAATACAGCTTTATCTATCTGGTCTTTTCCTTTCAGCCTTGGTCTGGAGCTGGTTATCCATCAGCCACCTATAACAGTGACTGCAGTAGCTTTGGCTGTTTCTCTTAACAAAAATTCTATGCATGGATAGTTACAAAGAAAACTTTTCTGTATTGCTATGGTTTCAGTGTACTGCCTGTTTCCTTTGGGGACTTTGCCAGCACTTACAAAACCCTATTGCATATATTATATATACTGAGTACCCCTTACTTGAGATTCTTGGGACCAGCAGTGTTTCAAATTTTGGGTTTTATTTTGTATTTCCAAATATTCCTACATATATAACGAGATGTCTTGGGAATGGTACCCAAGTTCAACACAGTTTGTTTGAAATGTGTGCTAGGTGCACTAACGGAAGGTGATTTTACACAGTGTTTCTGCTGTTTGGGCAGCAAACCAGCACATGAGATCAGGTGTAGAATTTTTGTCTTTCTGGGGTAATGTCACTGTTCAGATAAAAGTAGATTTCGGAGTGCTTTGGATTTCACATGTTAAAATTAGGGCTTCTCAATAGCTTTAATGGGAAATATTGTGCAAGGGGAAGAGGATAGAGGGGGCTTAAGGGAATCAGGACTGCTGGTAAGGGCTTGCAGTGGTTAATAGGTTCACGGTGAATCTTATAGAGATGCTAAAATTTGCACAGATCTCTGGAACTCAGAATTATTCAGCTAGATTACCTGGGCCAATATTCTGTGTGTGTGTGGTAGTGATGGGGGATAGGGGTTAGCTGGAGGGCATTCCTATTAGGTTGTATGGTTGGAGGAGAAGGTGGGTAGGCTGGAGGGGGCGCTGCTGATCAACTCTTCTACATAGAGGGAGTGGCTGAAGGGGTGGGCTATTGATTAAGAGCTCTAGGTAGAGAGGCTCAGTTCTTGCCTCCAGGAAGAGGTGCTCTCTGCTTGAGGACTAGAGATGTTCAGGAAGTGAAGAGCGCCAAATACGCAATTCAAATTATTTAGGATGCAATTAGGTTTGGTTTAATAATTAAAAATAATTTTAGAATTTTCTTTGGCAGAGATCAGGCTATTAATTAGCATGTCATGGGAACCCAGCATTTATTATTCTCTCAAAAACCCATTTGTGGTAGAAAATGTGCTGAGCCTCATTTGTGAGGATAATTATAGATGGTATCTTTGCGAGTGTCTGCCAAGTTCCCAGTGACTTCCCTTTTCTCTGGGAGCTGACTACAGAACCTACAGGGTGACTCCTCTGCCCACATCTCTACAGCACAAGCGTGTCTTCCGCTCACTAGAGCTAGAGTCATTAGCAAAGCTGAGCCAATAGGCTCTTTCCTCCACAGGAATTTGGAATCCCAGCCATCCAGAGTCAGGCCACTCTCTGTCCATTTGATTGGATACATAAGATTCAAGTTTAGGATGGCCCTGAGGAACAGAGAAAGCTGATTTTGGGGGGGGGAAATGAAAGCGGGTGTACAGAGGAGACTCAGGTCATCTACAGAGTTCTGCCTTCTAGAACTTTGCTCATTCTAGTGTATGCCAGTTCTTAGGTTCAACAAAGCATCCCCATGTATCCTTGTAATTTAGCACACTGTTATCTGTACACTTGTTGTGCTTCCCCTGCATCAGGGATGAACCTTCTTCCATGCATTCACTCCTAGACTTTGTGCAGTACATGTCAGTGGCTGAAGACTTAAGATTGGGCAAGGCTGAGTCTTTGCAATCAGATAATGTGTCTTGATTATTCTTAAGGTGCTTTGCTGGTGTATGAGGGTATAGTGCCAGATTCTGAAATATCCAGGTCGTCTTTTTGAACTCAGGTAAATAAAACCCAACCTTAATTTACTTAAGATTAACAAAATTAAAATTATTCTGAGGACTAGAGAGAACAATATGAATATATTTCTCTAGTTATAGGGATTTCTTCTGTTTGAGCTAGCCAGAGGCAGGGCTTCACAGGGACATATATTAAATACTCCTTTGAAGGAACACATTTAGTTTAAGAATGAAGCCAACTTTAGGGCTGTTTGGCAAAAAGATATTACTCACAATTTTATATTAGACATTGACTTAGTACATTTACCCTTCACTTTTCTTGAGCTAAATACTATTTTTGCATTTTCTAATATTTTTTGGGAGAAATAAATGCTGTGTTGGAACTATAGGTAATAATAATTTTAAGTAGTGCTTTTGAGCTTCCAAAGAAGACAAGTAAGTAAGACCAGGTGGAAACAGAAACAGTCTTCAAGAAAGAGGTCCATTAGTCACAGAACTACTCTGGGCATCTAGGTGAATTGTAGAGCAGGTAGGGTGTGGCTGGTTCCTTTTCTCTCTCACAGAGAGCCAGCCCTATGCCTTCTGTTATCTGATTCTCATTTCTAAGAATCCATTCTGATCTCGTTCTCTTTCTAGAATGAGGTGTCTTATTAGAATTTATATTATGCATAAAAATTCTTGCTCTGATGTCCCTAATCTCCCCTGTTGCCTCTCTTTTAGACAGGGTCTCATGATGTAGGCCTGGTTGTCCTTGAACTCACAGAGATCTGCTTTTATCTGTCTCCTGGGTGCTAGGATTAAAGACATGTGCCACTATATCTAGGCCCTGTCTCCCCAACTTCAACCACTACTTGTAGCATCTAGGATGATTAAAGAACCGGGTGAAGGGGAGGTAGAGATAACTTCCACTGAGGGTTGGAAGTATCAGAGCCCTGGCTAACAACTTCAGTGTGTCTTTTGGCAAGTTTCTTCACTCTCTGAACCATGTATAGAAAACAAAGAAGACAGTTTCTTTCTTATATTGGGCTAAAGGGCTACACTCAACTAAGTGCTGGATTTGGGTCCTTTAAATCTATAGCTGAGTCCTTGTTAGCATACTTTTTTTTTTGAGCTTTGAGCCTCAAAAGTGACATCACTGCTAAAGGAAATTCTAACACTGTGGTCTTTGGAACTGTCAACATTCTTTCTAACAGCATTTTCATTAACAAGGTATTTAAGGTTCTTTCGTGACTGTAGATGGAAATAGATATTAGCATTAAAACAAAAACATTTCTTAAGAAGACTTAAATTAATCTTACTTGAATTCTTCGGGGTGGATGCCTTTTGATAATGCTTGATTCTTCATGTTTCAGTGGAATGTCAAGATGTATGGGCCTGGACACTTGAAGGATGAGGGGGGGCAATAATAAATCATTAAAATCAATTTATTGTCAATTTAGGCATCCAGGTTTATCACTGTTTAGTAGTAATCTATGCAATTTTGCATCTTCAATTATACATGCTTAACTCACTGGTTGAATGTTAAGATAAGACACATGTAGCAAGCTTTCTTGTTGGACTGTCTTTGGACTGCCAGTCTGCAAATAATGACCCAGAGACTTATTATTAATTATGAAAGCTTGGCCTTTAGCTTAGGCTTGTCTCAACTAGCTCTTATTACTTAAACAAACCCATATTTTTAAAATCTATGTTCTGCCACATGGTATTACCTCTATTTCATTGGCAACTCCATTTTCTTTCCAGAGTTCTCTTTCTACCTGGAAGTCCTGCCTATATCTCCTGCCTATCTATTGGCCGTTCAGCTTTTCATTACACCAATCACAGCAATATGTTTTTCACACAGTGTACAAATATGCCACAACAGACAACAAGGCAGGATTCTTACATGAATGCAAGTGAACATTTTAGTCTGCTTTCTTCTTTCCTCACCCCCTCCCACCCCCGAGCCACCTCTGTCCTGAAGGCGGATTAAAAAAAAGGCAGTTGCAAAATTAACTATGTGTTGACCATAGGTATTACTCAAACAGAATTTAACCTGGAAAATAGAAACTTACTGATTAGTCTTATGAGTACCCAATAGCCCCTCTACTGGAGAACAAACCCAGGATCTCATATTACTAGCCTAACCCTGTACCTTTGAGCTCTGTCTCCAGCCCACTAGTTTAATACCATGAACCCCCCCAATAAAGGAAATCAGAAAAAATACTCTAAGAAAGGAAAATACATTATCTTTTCAGAGTAAATAGAAAGCTAACAGGGGACAGTCCACAAGTTGCCATTAGGATACAACATGCCACTGTTCCTTATACAAGCCAAGGCTACAGAGTTGCTGTGCTGAGAATTAGATGATGACTCACTATACAGGATATATTTGGCTTGATTAACTGGGCCACTCAAGAGTGCTGCCATGGCCAAACTGCATGGAGTCCTCGGCTTTCTCTTTGATCAGAAAACATTCTTACACATAGGGGAGCCTATACTCATGCTTTGCACTTGAAATAAAATAAAGCAAAAACAAACAAGTAATTGTGGGTCCCTACCCTGAAAACTTCTGAATAGACTCTGTAGAGCTTGGCTGTCCCCAGCTTTGAAGAGATCTATGACTTTCTTTCCAATTATGCCATATATTGAACATGACAGAAACATTACCTCCACCACACTGGTTTTTAAAATCTAAATTGTTTAAAGCATTTCCCCCTAGACACCAGTACTCTTCACCGTTATATGATGTGAGTGATATTATCCTGTTTTTACTTGGACCACCCCATATGGCAAAAGCTGTCCTAGATACTCACTTCTACTCCTGACCACAGGTAAGCAAAACTGGTAAGTAACTTACATAAGGCTGTGTGATGTATTTAGTGGGGCTGGGGTTAGACCATGGGCCCTTAAAGCCAGGACTCAGAATCATTTTAGTACAGTCAATATTTATAGAGAATGTTCTTTATCCCTTGTTATTTATAACGAATGTGATTTTTGTCTTTTAAATATAATCTTTCAGGTGGGACTCCAAAGTACTTGAATCAGCTTTTGTTACCCAGTCACCAAAACCTTAGAACTCAGAAGAGGATAAAACTCTGTGCCTTTAATCCTAGCACTTGTGAGGCAAAGGCAGGCAGGACTCTGTGAGTTCAAAGCCAGTCTAGGCTACATAGAGAGTTTGAGGCCAGCCCACGGTTATATAGTGAGACACTAACAACAAATAGAAATCCAAAGCAACAAACAAACAAACAAATGAGGAATCAGTGTCATTAAATAATGAAAAACATTTAAGAAAGCCTTATAAGTCAACAGTACTGAATATTTTAGCTGTAGAGAAAGTAACCATGAAAACCACCCTGGGAAGATCTTGCAGTTCAGACAGAGTTCTATGTTTTGTAACTCAGGTAGAATGTGAAGGAGAGAAAATGTGATTTTTTTTTTCATCTTAAGTTAGCACATCTGTTTATCACCATGGTCATCAAAAATATTTTGCATGTCATAAAAAATACCCAAGAACAACTTGTAGCCACTTCAGGCTCATAGCCTTCCCACCCTAGTGGGAAACATTCCCTTAATTCTGTGACAATCATGAAGAACATGGGGCTGGGGCAGGTGACTCATCTACTCTCCCTCATGTAGTTAATTGATTCTGTTTGGGTTGGCTTCAAAATTCACATTGGAAAGGTTTACTCCTAAAGTGCTACTTTCTTTCAAAACCACAAAGCTGGATGCATCCAATCTCTTTGGAGACAATGAGTTACATTAAGAGCCCAACTGGAGCACTGTTGCCACCACCTATCACATCTGTGTCATTTCAGTGACCTGATAGAAATAGACATTGTATTGAAATCACTACAGACTAACCTGAGACCAGACTGTTTCCCTTCCTTTATCCAGAATCAACACAAGTGTTCGAATGTGCTTACTGGAAGACATTTAGCTGTCAAACATTCAGTTCTCACTGAAAAACATTCTCCTGCATCTCATTAATCTAGACTTTCAGAGATCACTGAGACTGTTAGGTAAATGTACCCACACCTCTCCTGAATCCCAGACATGCAAATCTCATGTTTGGCTGTGTTGTACCTGCAGGATGTCTTCCATACCAGGTTTCTCGAAGAGGTGGTAGCAGTCCTTCCAGAGCTTGATTTTGGTCCTGCAGTCTAGAGAATGGGTATGAGCTCTTTTCTTCCAGGTTCCGATTTAATGCATAGAACACAGGGCCTGCCGCGGGAATCTCTGCTTCTTGTAAAGGTGTGACTTTGATTACCCGGGGGTGAGGCTTGGAGCGGCCCAGGCCCATTTTCCTTGAAGATATTCAGAAGAAAATCATAATGAGGGGGGCTTGGGGGCCTTTATGGGGCTTGATTTAGTTCAGTATTTTCAGTTGTTTATCTTAGCTTACCAAAACAGGTGTTTCCTTCATGACATATTTCCAGTTCTGTCCCCCGACACTAACTTCTCTGGCCACTTCCTGGGAGGCTGGTTTCCATGGAGACCTCCCTTCAACTTCTACTTTGCCATTCCAGAACTAAAGAATGCAGTTAAACATTGACTTGGTTATTCTACTCTCTGAAAAACTCAGTGGCAAGGATGGAAGCTTCTATTGATAATTAAACAAATACCCAACCTCAGACTACTAACAGAGATGCAGAGCAGGGCTGTAGAAAAGTTCAAGAGCTGCCCTTTCATAGCAAACACTTTGGGAAGAATAGTGAGAAGAGCTAAGACATTGGGAATATGAGGATAGATGCTGATGAATTAGGGCTTTGTTAATCTATAGTTTTAATTAAAGACTATGTCTTCCAGTTAAGAAAAGAAATCATTTGATTTTTCTGTCAATCACTTGACTCCCTTTGAAGGACATGGGTACATTGCAGAAGAATGGAGAGACAATAGGATTCCTTCCCCACCTCCCTGCCAGGAATGAAGGAACAGATGTCTTAAATGAGTGGTCCAAATAAAAACTATCTTCGAACAGAGTCCATTTATTATTTTTTTTTAAGTAGAAAAGAAAACAGGGAAATACACCAAGTGTTGAACAGTGAATTTTGAGTGATGGGATTATGGCTAATTTTTATTTCAGTTCTTCACTCAGAGTGAGACTCACTTGCACATTGGAGCTGTTCATAACCACAAATTACAGGTGCTTTTAGCACTTTTTTCTCTTTGGGTTTTCAAGACAGGGTTTCTCTGTGTAGCCCTGGCTGTCTGGGAACTCACTCTGAACACTAGGCTGCCCTTGAATTCAGAGGTCCCCAGTCTCTGTCTCCTGATTGCTAGGATTAAAGGCATGTACCAGCATTTCCTTGCCTGGCACTTTTGGCATTTCTAATTCCACAGAAAAATTAAAAATGTTCGCCATGTTATGAAATCCATTGATTAAGGGCTAACATGGTGATTGGAAAGTTTTGATAGTCAATAAGAAGGATTTAGTTCTAGTTTTTTTTTGCCTTATTATTATTATTATTTAATTTTGAGAGGCTGTATCTGTGGAGAATATGAGCTTTGAGGAAGCTGGCCAGCTGTCGAAATGATTAAAGAGACAAAGGTGCTACATCCCACCTTTGCAACTGTTACAAATCATTTAGTGTCCTGACTTAGAAAGCAGGGTTACTAATAAGACTTTGTGAAGAAGAGATCAATTGGTTCCACCTGGTTCCATCAGCCTCTGTGCTCTTCCTCCAAGGCCAGTGTTGCTACTTGTCCACATATGTAGAATAGTTCTTGCTCACAGGCTAGACTCCATTAACACAGTCACTTTCCTGTCTATGGATAGAAAAAACACCAATGAGGATAAATGAGGGCAAATCCATTGATTTTATTGTCTAGAAAAATGATAGTATTTAAAAATTATTATTTAAGGCCAATCATGGTGGTGTCATGCCTTTAATTGCAGCACCCAGAAGGCAGAGGCAGGCATTCTCTGTAAAATTGAGGCTGTCTGGTCTATGTAGTAAACTCTAGGGCAGCTGGGGCTACAAAGTGTAACCCTATCTCAAAAAAGGCTATTTTAAAAACTTCATATGTATGATCTTATTAGATTAACAGCAGAAAATAATAATAGTATAAAATAAATATTGTCATTGAATTTCAGCTACAGAATTAAATATAAGATGTAATTTCTTAACCAAAAGAGTTGGGCTCTCATCTTCCAAAGCCTGACTGTCGCTAAACTATTTAGGACACTTTATAATGCTCTCTCCCCAGTTCCAGGATGGTTGTGAACATACATTATTATGAGTAAATATGATAAGATATATAATTACAGTAGAATTTACAAATAGGAAGTGATATTATAAATTTATAAATTTTTAAATTAAAGTTTTTTTTCTTGAGACTTTCATACATGAGTAATGTATTTAGATCATTTCCCCTTCCTTTCCCTCTACAAATCCTCCATGTACAAATCCATAACCTCTTCTTTAGTTATTGTTTTATACATCTATAAAACTATTTTATTTTTATCTATCTGTCTGTCTATCTATCCCATTGTGTGGTGATATATTCCTTATAATTTAATAAAGATTGCAAAGTATCAGAATGCAAAGTCAACCACACTCGTAATAGAAGCTAGGTGGTGGTGGTACACATCTTTAATCCCAGGATGCAGGAGATAGAAGTAGATAGATCTCTGTTAGTTCAAGGTCACACTGAGCTACATGAAATTGATTCAGTCTCCAAAAGAAACAGTTCACACAAAGGTGATCTCAGCACTTGGGATCACACATGTTTAATCCCACCTCTAGAGAGGTATATAAGATAGAAGTGGGAAATTCAGTAGTCAGTCTGAGAATTAGTCTCCACCTACATTGAGGAGAGCATAGCAGTCTTGAGATACAATCTGAGGTTCAGTGGATCAGGCCTTTGGTCTGAGGTAGAGGTAAGAGCTAGTGGCTGCCTGCTTTGCTTCTCTGATCTTCAGCTTGAAGCTTGAACCCCAATATCTGTCTCCCCATCTTTTATTGTTCGTGTTACACCATTGAGTCCATTTAATGTTGCTTGTATATACATGTGTGTAGATCTGTCCACTTGGGACTAGAAACACCAGGGACCCCATTCTTGAAGAAAACTGATTCACCCTCTCTAAGCAGCTGCCAGTTGTTAGGTGCAGGGCTCTGTGAAACATCCCTCACCCATTTTGGCATGCCATGTGGCGCTGTCCTTGTGCAAGTCTTGTCTAGGCCACATTGATGAGATTCATCCCCATCATGTTTAGTAGACACTATCAGCAACAGGTTTCCTGGTCCTCTGGATCCTACAATCTTTCACCCTCTCTTCTTCAATTTTCCCAGAGCCTTATGTGTAGGGGTTGCATTATAGACATATCAATGAGGGATGGGAAAAATGAGACTCAGAAAGGATGAATTTCTTCTAAAGCAACATCCAGAGAAAATGTTTACTGTTTTATTTGCTGCTATTTTCTTTTCTTGTGTGTGTGTGTGTGTGTGTGTGTGTGTGTGTGTTTATGATTGTATGTGCTGTGTGTGTTCATGTGGAGGCCAGAGGTCAGCCTTGAGTGTTGTTACTCAGGACATCTTCTACCTTGTTCTTTTTTGAGACAGGGTGTCTCTTTCACTGACCTATTTGGTTAGGGCTGACTGGCCAGCAAGCCCCAGGGATCTGCCTGCTTCTGCATCTCTGGCTCCGATATTACAAGTGTATATTGTCATTTGTGATTTTGTATATGGGTTGTGAGGATAAACTCAGGTCCTCAAGATGGTACAGTATGTACTTAACTGGCTGAGCTATCTGCACAGCCCTATTGTTTCATTTTTTGAGACAGGGTCTTGTTGTTAACCCAGAGAAATAGTTTATTATGTAGCCCATGCTGGTGTCAAGGACTTTCTTCTTCTCAAGTGCCAGGATTACAGATATGACCACTACACCTGACCAGAGTAACAATTATTAAGATGAAGGGCACAGAGAGAAGGGAGGGTGTGAAGGTCGTAGGGGAGACTAGAAGAAGCAGGAAGCAAGAGCCAAATGTACTATTGCTGAAGATGTACAGTCAAAACCCCTAGCCTGGCACAGCTTCCTAGGTACCGTGCCCTGGAGGTTCCCAAGAAAAGTACAGGGATTCAGAGCCTGGGTCCTGCCAGCCCTAACAACGTGGACTGGACCACTTATCTCCAATAAGCCAAAAGTGAAAAGCAGAAAAAGTTTTATCCAACGTGGCCACATTAAGAAGAGGAGCAAGGGAGTCTGATGACACTTCACCCCTTACCCTCCATGTCAATCTTACGTAGAAGGAAGGTAAGAGGTAACCAAACTGTGCCTTTAAAAGTATGTTCATTCCTGCCAGGAGGTTCAGAGTGTTGGGGCACTCTCCTGTAAAAACAGTGAACCTAGCTCAGGGTCAAAGCTATGACGTTAATGTTAGTTGTTTTTGTCAGAGAGAAATCTTAGCTTTGTTCTCAATTCACTTCAACTAGCCTTGGGGCAAGAGTGTTGAGGAATCTTGTTTAGTCATTTTAAGCTCCAGAGAGAGTCAGTACACACTTATTAGAAGATCTGTGGGTTTTTCTACTGTCTAAGAAGAGAAGTTTTACATTCAAATGTCAGAAACAAGATCCAAGATCCAGGGCTTTATGTGTAAGCTTGGTATCAGAGAAAGAGAGAGAGAGAGACAGAGAGAGACAGAGACAGAGAGAGATTCCTTAAGGAATTCCAACAATGTTTCTTGGGTGAAAATATGTAGCTCTGACCACAGGGTTGTGACTTGACCCCCTCGGCTTCATTTTGATGGACTTCCCCAAGTATCCCACTCTCTCAGCCCAACCTTTTGCCAAGAGAAGGGATATGCCCAGGATAAAGAAGGCTAGATTCATTTGCAGGTACTTTACAAATTACTATATGAATCAAACAGGAAACTGTTACCACAATAGCATGTAGGAAACCAGACAACCACTTACTGACGCTGTTTATTAATGAGAAGTAAATCCAAAATTTAAATCTAATATTGAGCAAATAAGGTTCTTTTTTTAAATGAGTCATAGCTAACTGCACTTGAATATTGAATGTAGTTGCCCCTTGGTATCTACTGGAGACTGGCTGGATGACCACAACTTGGGAACTCATAAATCCCTTATATAAAATTGCAAAATGGGCTGCTAAGATGACTCTAAGGATAAAGGGTACTTGTCAAGCCCTAAGATCCGAGTTCGATTCTGGGGAACCCCATGCTGGGAGGAGGACACCAAATCCTGAAAGTTGTCCTCTGTGGAGGAGTAGATGAGGGTCTAGGAGTGATTAGAAGTGGTGGGGCGGGAGAGGAAAGGAGGGAAGAAGGGAGGGGGAACTGTGATTGGGATGTACCATAAATAAAAACTTTTAATTAATCATAATAACAATAAAAAGAAAATTGTCCTTTGATCTTCCCATGCATGCATGCATGTCACACACTGTCTACACACACACACACACACACACACACACACACGTACATGATTAAATAAATGTAATAAAAACTGCAAAGTATTTACATCTAACCTGCAA